AGCAGCGGCACTTGAAAATTCTACAGCAGCAGCTGCTCCAGGAGCAGGCCATGTTACTGGTAAAGCACTGTATCTGTTTTGTTCAGTAGCTATAGGATCCATTTATCCGGCCAGTCCTAGGCTTCCCTCAGTCGGGCACAGCTGCACTGACAGTATGACAACAAAGGAGCTTGATTAAAAGGCCATTTATGCTAGCGTCGTGGGCTGACAGGCACATATGAGAAGTGCTGTATGGTCAACCTGCTTTCTGGGCAGCAGTAAGAGGAGGCTTTATGCTAAAGTGGAACAGTTCTGGTGTGGTGGTCGAGTTTCTGAACAGACCTTGGCATTCAGTGAAGAACTAGAGTGCTTATGTTGCAGATAAAAAGTACCCATGATATGTAAATCCACCCCAGGATACAATGGCCTAGTGTTGGTCTAAATCATTGTTTTATGAACTTTACACTGGATTTAGTGTAAATAACTTTTTTTTTTTTCCCTCCGATAAAAATCAGTTTTGACATAACTCTCCAATCATGTCAAGCTTAGCAGTACACTCTCAACTTTCCCAACACGAGACACATGCCATATTGGTCTAACTTAGCTCTTCGTTACACTTTAACAATGAAATAAACCAGAAAAAAAAAAAAAAAAAGGCAACAACAACCAGAAAGGTGCATTTTTAATGGGATGGATAGGGACATGTCCACCATACAGTCAATGTCATGTCTTGAATTACTCGCATGTTCTCTCAAAGGAATACAGATGGCGAGAGATGGAGGAACACCGACAGGCGGAGCGACTCCAGCGCCAGTTGCAGCAGGAGCAAGCCTACCTCCTGTCGCTGCAGCATGATCACAGCAGGCAGCAGCAACAGCAGCAGCAGCAACAGCAGCAACAGCAAGAAAGAAATAAACAAAGCTATCACACCCCCGAGCCAAAATCCCACTATGAGCCTGCTGAAAGAGCGCGTGAGGTAAGTCCTGCTTGTGGGCAGGAATCTGCTACCTGCCTCTCTGCCCCTGCCTGTTGGCATCATCGTGACTGTGGTCCTGCTACAGTACAGTCGGAGGGAAAGCGTCACTCATAAGGGGCAGGGTATTTTAAAAAGTTGGGCGCTGATTTCCAGATCTGAGGGATACTTCTGAGTACTTTTGCTGCAATCGTTGGAGTTCAGAGTTTTGACGTATAAAGGGTGGAAAGAAATTCTGGAAGGCTGCAGACTGAGGAGATGTGATTTTGGAAGCATCACGTCAGGAAGTTAATCTTGTCTGCACTTCATCAGACTTGTTTTCACAGGAGGCATTGGTGCAGTTGGTGGTCTGTGTCTCTGGCAAGTACTGGCGATTGGAAATTGGGATGCAACTGGAAAGCACGAACCTATGAGGGATGCTCATATATGGCACCTGTTTACACATTTGGTGCTTTAGCCCATGCTCTTGGAAATACCCTTCTCACGTACACAAATCTGAATTTCATTACTTTCATTTTTGAAGTGTTAAGTATTCTCTTCTAAGATCACGTCCTGCTCTTATGAAACTCTGTGGTGCTGCCTTCTTGGACTTTGAGCACTCACTGTAGACTGAAATCATCAGAGTGCTGTTTGTTTCAGTGAGTGGTCCCCTGTCTTCACTGGTCCATGGGTAACATGGCTAAGCAGGTAATTGCCTCTTTGATGCATACTTGGCTCTCTTTCAGCGGTCTTATTCTTATGTTTCCCTTGAGCACCACTATGCCCACAAACCACTAGACTGGGCAATACTGGTCAAAGCTCTTAATGGCATTCATCATCAGCATGTGGGAACTGGGTAAATACATTTTGGAACAAGAACAAAAAAAATCCTTGGGGCTGTTGAACATGATAAAATAGCACATTCAGTCCACCTTCGTCCAGTTGCACTTCATTGCCTTTGAAGTATGGCTGTTTGGGCTTGATGAACACAAACTCATTTTCTTGTAGATGCTGTTGCCCAAGTTCTTCATAAACCATATTTGTGCTATCTCATCCATTCCTCTTGGTGATTGAAGTATCTGGTACGTGTGTCTCTCCTGGAAGAAGTTCAGACTTGTCTGGTATGTGGTGGTGCAGGCATGGAACTAGCCCTTCTGTCCTTGTTCCTGTTCACCCGCCTCGGTGAACGCACAGTGCCATTCCAGCACTCATGTCCAACCTGAAGGCTGGCTTTGGAGGGATGCAGAACCATCTCTGTTCCTTGTCTCCTATTTTCCTTTCAGAATTGAAAAGGAGAGAAACTCCTGAAGATTCAAAGTGTTACATCCTTTAGCAGAACCGCTGACTCAGCTATTTTTCTGTCAGCTATTTTTCTTTTGTGATCAGTCTAGCTAGGAGTAAAGTGAAGGCACAGAAAAATTGTGTTAGTGGTCACGTCTTCCCAGAGATGGCTGTGTGCGTGTGGTAGAAGTATAGCTGTGAGATATCAGTGCCTGGCAGTGGAAGCAACACCAGTTAATCTTAAAAGCAGGCATTAACTCTAATGTCATTCTTGACATGGGGAGTTGGAGAGCAAGTATTCTGTGCCTCATACTTTCAGGTATACTGCTCTCCAGAGAAAGTCTCCATCTATGGAAATGCTGTCTATCGGGACGATAAACCAAAGTGGACTAACTTTCCTGTTCTGGCAAAGTCTAATGGGGATTAGGTTTTTTTTTTTTCCATTCCAGTGGCAATGAGAATATAAGGAAAAGGACTTCTAGGATTGGCTCTGGGAAACAAGGGGAGAGATTAGAGCAAGAAATGAGCCTTAATACTATTTTCTGGTCCAGACAGTCAGATGACTGGAACAAGGCCTGTTTCTCTCCAGGGATGCACTGACTGTCTCCTTCCCACCTCTTGCCTGGTTTTAAGGACATGTGGCTTGTGCAGTTTGTGTGCTTTGTGGAGGAAACCTCCTATCATCTACAGCTAGGGACATAAAAGCCTGTTTCTTCAGACAGAAAGACTTAAGGCTTTTCCTCGTTCTATTCATAACAAGGAGTCTGGCCTGTTTTTTAACCTTTAAAGGATGGTTCTGTGAAGTTGAACACGGTGGTGAGAGTGATTGTATGGTGGAGATGTTTGCCTCCATTATCACTGTATTTCCCAAGACATAGTGTATTTTGTGCAGACCTGGCAGAAGCTTATCTGCTCGTTCCCATAGGCAAACTGTTACTGTCCTCAAATTTTGGAAAGCGGAGGCAGGCTGGGTTTGTAAAGCAGCCCAGCTAAAGAGTCCTGGAGACTTGTCTCTGTCTTCTCACATGGGTACATGAACAGCCGGTCTCTCCAGACCATCACTGCTAGGGAACAATTAGGAAACCACCCCAATACTAGTTTTGTGCTCCAGGCGTGAGTTAAAGCAAAACTTGTGAGCAGAATCTCAACAAATGAAATGAACCCAAGCTGCCAGTTTGATCTTTCTTTGACGCTTTGATAAAGTGCTGGGAGTTCAGCGTTCCTCAGCAGCAGCTCCCCTGGCAGAAACGCACAGGCTACCCTGATTCCAGCAACAGACCATCTTAGGAAATGGGAGGATATTTCCTTTCTGCCTGGAGCCTCCCTCCATCTCTTGCCCTTCTTACCTCTTGCTTTGTTCGCAATGCTGCAGCCTTGGAAGAGGCGATGTTTCTGCGTGAGGACTTCACTTGATGTTCTTTTGAGGACTGAGCACTTTCTGACTTAAGTCTTCCTCTCGACAAGCTCTTGGGGTTAGTGTACAATCACTTCTGCACCTCCCTGAGAACCAGGAACAAGATACCGGGACTGTTCTCTGCAGGCTTTGAGGTCATGTTGGGATTGTCTGGTAAAAGAGAGGGTGACCAGTCCTACAATTTTGTACCTAAAGCAAAACAGCCTCCAGTATTACTGGGTGGAAAAGCATATCCTCTCTCTTCTTGCATTGCCAAAGAGACAAGCACAGGAAAGCAGATGATCAAAGAACATTGGTTGAGTAAGGTGGGTAACTACAGTAAGGGATAGCAATGGGAAACGTACTTCTGTATTGTAAAATCATTTCTGTTTTCATATATCCTTTTTATTGTGTGTGAGGAAAATACTGATGGATAACTAGTCTAGGCAGAAAGTAGCTCCATAATGGTCTTGTCATACCACTTCACATCTTACTGCCTGCTGTATCTTCTCTTCCTAGTTTGGATTTTCCATATTGGCATACTTGCCACTTTGGTGTAGTCACACTGTGTTTTACAGTGCTGGTGAAAGTGGTAGGGAAAAAATCCTGCCAAGCCCCAAATGTATTTGATTTCTTTATGGTAAAGGAAAGGTGGTACTCACCTTCATATTTCTACTGTAATTAGTTTTATTGACTCCAGGCTTAACCTCCATTTATTTTGGCTTAGGTGGAGGAGAGATTCAGAAAAACTAATCAGGGCTCCCCTGAAGCACAGTCTAAGCAGATGGGCAAAGTGTTGGAGCCACCAGTGCCTTCAAGATCAGAGTCCTTTTCCAATGGAAACTCAGAACCTGCTCAGCCTGCCCTGCAGAGGCCGATGGAACCCCAGGTAAGTGCCCAGGAAAGTCTTGGTGAGCCTGGAGGAAATTCAGAAGTCCCAGCATGTTTCCTTCAAGTTTGCAGATCTTGGCGCATAGAAAGTTTTATGTAAAGGTTAGCACTGTTACACAAAGCAACTTATTCAGTAGATTTGCTTTGTCTGTTTTTCCTTATTTTATTGAAAAACTGATGGATTTGTTGTTTTGGTGTTGTTTGGGTTTGGGTGTGGTTTTTTTTTTTTTAATATTAGAGCTAGATTAGAACTGTTGCATCCTGTTATTTTATCTGTGCAACAGTGGAATGGTGGGCAAAACACTGGTGACAGTTGCAGTACACTTTTATAATTCAGTATTTGATCTGTGCAAGATATTTACTACCAAAAAGGATGCTCAGGGAAGAAGTGAGCTTGCTGGGTTTTTAAGTTCTTGTGAAAAAAGCTAACTAAGCAAGTGGTTTTTAATAGTATGAGCACTGCTTCAAAAAGATTTACAAAACATGACTAAGAAAAGCAAGTTTGTTGCCAGTAGGCTTACAGTTGCTAAATAGAGCTCTGTACCACCCCTGGAAAATCAAAAAGAAGTTGAAACCATTGAGCTGCATGGCTGCTGTCTTTCTATTGTTTTCTAATGAAGACCCTCCAGATCTTGGTATCTGTATCTCATAGGAATTAGAGCATGAATTTAAAAAGTAACCTTTGTCTAAAACTTCGACACAGCCTGTAAATTCTACACTAAATTAAACAGTACAGTTTTGCATTCAGTTCCTCTGTTTCCATGCAGAATTTTTCTTCTCTCAAATTAAGTCTCCTGATGACAGTGCAAGCTAAAACCGTCCCTGATTGTGACTAGGTATTGCAACTCTTTTGGGCAACAGGAGAATTTGAACAGACGGGAGAGTGGGAGAAATCAGGACAGAACTTCATCTCTTACTCATTAATTCCTGGCTTTTATTCAAACCTCTATGACTGTTTCAAATATTGGACTTGTATCTTCATGCTCTCTGTGCCAGTTACTTTTAAACTCTGGGTCTTCCACTCATATTAAGGATAATCAGGCTCTCCAACAGCTGTGTGTATTAAAATTGAGGAAATAATAATCATACAAAACCAAACACAATCAGCCATCTGAAACTGGGGTTGAAAGCAAAGTTTTGCTTAATTACTAGGTGTGAAAACAGTGTGTTCCTCAGTTATGACCTTTCCTTCTCCTCAGTTTCAGAAATTAACCTGAAGTGCAGGTTTATGCACAAGAAGGGAGTAGGCTGAACGGTCAATATGGATTTCAGTGGAAATCCCAGTGAAGTTTTAACTCTGGAGTCACTGTTGTACCTTCTTAGTATGTGTAATTGAATACGTGTGTGTGTACGTGTGTGCTTAGTTTGTGTATAAATATGTATATATGTACAGTATATGGTACATATATGGTGTAAGTATAATATGCATTGTACATATGTATACTATATACAATATATATTATGGGGTTTTTATATATGTGTTGCAATGACTGTAAAAGAATAAAGGCTTTTGTGTTATGGTCTTTCTCCAAAAGTTATGAACCGTATCTGGTTCCTAAATTTATTAGGTAATGTAAATGTCTGTTGGTTTGCACATTTTATAGCATTCTTTAATTTTGTACATTTCTTTAATTGGATAACTGCTTCAAATTTCGCAGCGCACCAGTGCTGCCATGAGACCTGACCAAAGCCCACTGAAGACTGAGGAACAGAAAGCGACTTCTGTCTTGAGTGGCCTTTGTACTCAGGCTCACGGTGCAGATATTAGTTCCCCTTTTCCTTCTGGGCAGCACCAGTGTATGTGTATACAGAGAGCGTATCTCGCAAAAAAATGTGTATGTGCTATATTTTCAGTCTGTTACGTTCTTTGGGCGCTTGCCTTGCTTTTAAGTGCATTGATTCCACCCCACGCTTACCTAATGCCATAACCAATTTGTCCCTCCCCGCCCCACCTGCCTTTATTCTGTGTTGATTGGAAAGCCAGTTATACTGAGCGCATTGAATGTTTTATGTTTTGTTTTCTTGTAAGGTACAGTGGTCCCATCTGGCATCTCTCAAGAACAATGTTTCCCCTGTCTCGCGATCCCATTCCTTCAGTGACCCTTCTCCCAAATTTGCTCATCACCATCTTCGTTCCCAGGACCCATATCCACCTTCACGCAGTGAAGTGCTAAATCAGAGTTCTGACTCTAAGTCGGAGGTACCCGACCCCACCCAAAAGGCTTGGGCTAGATCAGACAGTGACGAGGTGCCTCCAAGGGTAAGGAGTAGAAAGACAGATGTGTGCTATTTTTTTTCATTATTAATTATTATTTTTTTAAGGATGTGATACCCTGGGCGCTGGGAAGACCGTGCCCTTGTGCCAGCATTGGTAACAGTATTTTAGAAGGCAGATCATAATGTAGGTGTTCAGTCAATGGGTTAATGATAGTCAACCTTAAGTACAATATTGAAGCTTCATATGAAATTGGCAATTATTTATAGAATGCAGCTATTTCAGAGAGACAATTTATTATGCAAAGTTAACAAATCATTACCATATTCAGGAAAGAATTTAAGATATCCCTGAGGTTATTGCTCAGAGTTAATTTTCCTGTTCATCTGTTAGCAACCCAAACTGTGAATCATACACACGTTTAAAATTGAGATGGAACTGAACAAAAAGGAAACATTCAATATACTTCCTCCTCCTCCTCTCCCCTTCCCAACCCCCTCCCCCCCTCCCATCCACTGGGATTTGCTGCTTCTGAGTATATTCTTGCTCCCTCACCAGTCTTTGCCTTCTGCTGATCCATTCCCGGGCATTTGTTTGGTTCCCCTGAGCTTATTCTCCTAATTCTCATGCTGTTTCAGCAAATTGCTTTGTGCCTCCCCTGCTTCAGTCAAAATGCCATATTCTTTTTAAATGTCTTGGTAGTGGAGTGTAGCAGGGTGTGTATGTGTTTGTGTGGTAACTATTAAACACTAGTTAATGTTCACACTGAAGTTTGAGTTCTCTGCAAAATCTGAACAGCATCCCAACTAAGGCTCTTGGTTTTGTGGGTGTTTGTTTATTGCTTTTGGTCATCGATGCTAGCTTGGATTTAGAATTAAGCGTTGTTAAAATCTTAAGAATATATTCTGTAGCGGGAAAGGTTTAATCTTCCTCTTCTCTCTCTCCTCTTCATGCGTTTAATACAACTTTTTTTCTCCCAAGGTACCTGTGAGAACAACGTCCCGATCACCAGTCTTGTCCCGCCGTGATTCTCCACTGCAGGGTAGCGGGCAGCAAAATAACCAAGCAGGTCAAAGAAACTCCACGAGGTTTGTAAGCCTACATGTCCTCACCTTTCCTGCTTTGGAAGGAAAAGGCTCATGGGAAGCCAGGCTTTTCCAGAGAGGTTTTGGCATTGTCTGTTGGATGTGAAAGGAGGATGAATTTGGGTCCCTTTTCAGCAGTGATTAATATTAATTTCCCTTGGTGTAGCACGTGTGCCAACACTGGCAAAATTTCATCTTCCCTTGCCCTGTAGCTTTTGCAGTGATTTCAAAATATCCTTAAGATTGCTTAAAACATGTGGCCATTCATGAATATCTTTGCCTTTTGGTGCAGCAGGTCATCTTGGGCATACTGTGGGGATTACTGGCAACAGAAGTGTTCGCAACATCTGAAGTGATCTCAAACTTTCTGGCCTCTCAGCCAGAACCAGACTTTAAGAGGGGGAGAAGCATCCATGAGCTATGTGACACAGAGCATTTGAGGTCAGGAAAGGGGAGAGGAAGGGGCTGCCTCCCAAGCTCAGCAGAGCACCTGTGGACAGGCCACCCTGGAGTTAGCTCACTGGGCAGGGGTGAGGGTATTCTCAGAGGGACAGGCATTGCTGGCTTTCTGGCTTGTACTTGGGTGGCCAGGGTACTTCTGAGCCAATTTTAAACCTGCTGCATGCAGGCTGAAAGAACTGTCCACTTTAAATGAGATACCTAAGAATGGCAGGTGGCCAGTTCCAAAGAAAAAGAACGGGTTACACCCACATAAATTTTGGGATTTTACCATCCTAAATAAGGTAATTGGTATTTCAAAAAGAGCCACTGCTTGGGTTGTGAAGTGTCACTGATGCCCTCAGCTCAGTGTTAAGTGCTCTTTCAGATGAGTTATTAGCACAACACTGAGGAATAATGATGTTTGAGTTTAGAAACGTGAATCTGGAACTGAAATGCATGACAAAGACTTTCCTCCCTCCCCTGATACAGCAATATAGAGCCTCGTCTGCTGTGGGAAAGGGTGGAGAAGCTTGTACCAAGACCGGGCAGTGGCAGTTCTTCAGGTTCAAGCAACTCCG